CAATTTGGTGAAAACCATTAGCAAGATCTAATGTTGTAAAATAGTTAGCTTTGCCTAATTTATCTAGAATTTCAGTTATATTTGGTAAAGGAAATTTATCGTCGATAGTTTGTTCATTTAATTTTCGATAATCAATGACCATACGCCATTTTTGTTTATTTGATGCGTCTAGTTTTTTAGGTACTATCCAAATTGGTGAAGACCAAGGTGAATTTGAAGGTCTTATAATATTTTGAGAAAGTAATTTATTAATTTGACTTTTTACTTCATTTTTATGTACTTCTGGATATCTATAACTTTTAGTATAAAGAGGTGTTTCATTTTTTAATTTTATGTCATGTTTAATGGCATTAGTAAAAGATAAAGGTATATCTTCATGATGAAAAATATCTCGAAATTCTAAACATAATTTTCTGATAGCTTGTTTTTCTTCAGAATTACAATGATCAAGTCTTAAATTTTTTAAATTAGATTTTAATAAATTATCTTGATTTTTATTTACTTGTTCAATATTATTGTCAGAATTAATAAAATTTAATTCATTTATATTTACTGGTTCAATGTCAAAAGGTTCAATAAATGATACATTTACAGAATTTGAAGAATTATTTAAAATAGTAGTAAATGCAAAGTTATTTTCTATTTTTACTAGACATTCAGGTATTTCAATTTCATTTGCTTTTTGATATTTTAAAATTCCATATCCATTATTTAATTTTACAGGTATTTTAATTTTTGTATACTTCTAGGAGAAATTACATGAGTACAACTCTGTATATTATTATTTATAATAGGTTTATTCATTTTAGTTTGATATTCAATTGGAATTTGCGTGTTAGGCGTTTTAAAGAGAGAGAATTAAAATCTAAGTTAGCATTTAATTGCATTAAGAGGTCTAGTCCTATGGACCGTCAAATTTATTTGAAAAATTAAATAAATAAAATTTATGTATACCAGGTGAATTAAAACTTGGAAATATAGGTAAAATAGCAACTTCATTATGAAAAGAAACAGCATGTGCAGTTTGAACTTGAAAAATTTCTTCTTTAATAAAATCTTGAAAATAATTATAAGCAATTTCTGGATTTATGAAACTTTTTGTACTACCTGTGTCAATTAAAAATTTTGCATTCAACTCAGGTAAAATAATAAAAGGTAATTCAATAGAATAATTATTTAGATATGCTATATCGATGGTTGTGTAGTCGAAATCATCTGAAAATTTTGATCTTCAGGAGATTCTAAAACTTCTCCTTGATTAAAATTTTCTAAGTCATATTGATTATATTGTTCATCATAAAATTGATCATTAAAATTAGTCATAGTTGGATAATTATAAGAACATTCATTACTGTTATTATATTCAAAGTCATTATTAGTGTTTTCAAAATCATTATTTGTATTTTGAGTGTTATTTTGTGTGTTAGATTGTTCTATGTCTGAACGTGTTATAATGTTTTGGTGTAAAACAGTGTTTCCTGAACTCGTGTCCATTGGTTCAACTCTATTAGTCTACTATTAGACGAACTTGGTTTATTTTGTCTAAAAGTGTTTGAATTTGGTCTTTGTCCAAAATTAGGTCTTCCAAATTGTTGATTATTATTTGGCAAATTTCTTTGAAATTGATTAGATGTACTTGGTTGATTACTAAATTGATTTTGCCTTGGCATAAAAGTTCGTGTATCCAGTAATCTATCCCTTATACCATAATTAGAATAATTTTGGTGATTATTATTATTAAATTGACTATACATTGGTTGATAATTAGGTTTAAAAATAGGAATATGTGATTTATAATTATGTTGTGTTTTTGTTTGAGGTGTTGGGTGTCTTAACGATTGTTGTGTATGTGTATTATTATACGAGTGATTTTTAAAATATAGGAAATTTTCTTCTTCTCGAACGAAAGACATGGCTTTTTCTAGACAATCTGGATTTTTTAATCTCACAATTAATTGAAGATTATAAGGCAATCCATTTATAAAAGTTTTTAAAGCAAATTCTTCAAATGTCTAATTTTCATTAATTTTTCAGTTGCAAGTTCATTTGTTGCATTTAATTTTGAAAATAATAAACTGCGTGAATCTTGGATACGCATTCCAAAATTTATAGGAGATTCATTTTTGAATGGTTTTAAATTAATTAAATCTTGTATTAAGCAATCAATTGATCTTTGATCAGCAAAATAATTTATTAATGTATTTTTAATATCAGTCCATGTTTTTAGTTCTGAGCGAGAGACAATAAGATCGGCTGCTCTACCAGTTAGTTTCCCTAAGACAGTGTCTGTGAGACATATGTTAATTTGTGCGTTGGGATTTGCAATATCTTGAAAAGCTTTTATTAAGTTTTCACATGAATTTAAATATCTTTGTAATAATTTTGGATTCCCGTCAAATTTAGGAATATTATCTGACTGAAAACGTAATAAATTGTAATTTGTTTCTGGCATTATTATCTGATTTGCAATATTATCAATAGAAAGATCGGTTAAATTATTGATAATATCGTTTATTATTTCGTCAATCTTGCTTTCTTTCGAAATACTCTTAGAAGAGAGAAAAAACGATATGTATCCTTAAAATTAAATAAAAGTGACAAAAATTTAAAGAGAGATTATCTTAAAACTAAATTTACTGTCACAAACTCTCTAACTTGATTCGTTCCGAAAGGCGTATTTTTTAATTTTTTATCAAGCAGCTTCGCGAAAATCACGATCACGAAATTTCGTATAGCACAAAACTTCACAAAATCTTCAAAATTCTAAACTTCTAAACTTCTACTTACAGGGTGATGCTTGTAGACATTCCTGCTGTGGGTTTCTTTTTTTCTTTGTTTGTTGTTTCTTCTTATTCTAGTTCTTAACTATGTCTGGGTTGGCGATGTTTGTCCTCACCAGACGTACTGTTGGACGGCGATGTTTGTCCTTCCAGACAGCCAGACAGAAGATCCCCAATATTCCCTTGAAGACCTACTGTTTTGTGGAGCCAACGAAGTCTTCGGTGTTTTCTTCTTTCTTGCCTCTCGTGACCAAGTAACGTTGGAACCCTGAAGATACCTTAAATCGGTGCTATTTTCTTCAGGTCCCGGGAAGAAGGCGTATTCCGGATTAACACTTGGAAGCGAACGCGCGAATATTCACCTTAAATCGGTACTATTTAACACCCGCGTTCCGGAATATCCTACCGACTGCGCCAGTTAAATGAGAAACTCGAGACAAGTTGTTTTTAAAAAATGTTTTATTTAATAAAAACCGAAGTTAACAGCTCTAAGATCTACATTGGACTCAAACTAATGTACTGTTTGAGTCATATTTATAAGATTACATTGATTACAAAGCAAGTACATTTTTATGTGTACTAAACCTAATGTACAGGATGTAACTTGCTTGTTATTTACTAAATTCTTTAAAATGCGATGAAAATAATAAAAAATTTCTAACTTTTATCTGTGTTCAATATTAAAGTTATTAACTTGAGTTGAGTAACAGGTTGCGCTTGAAGTAATAAAATATTGTTTTAATGAGTAAAATATGAGGTATGTTTAACTAGAGAACTTGCAAACTGATCCTCTTGAAAGTAGGTTTGGAAAATATAGACAGTTAGCCGGGAGTCAGTACAGTATTGATATTGAGCAAAATACACTTATAAAAAACCTTACTCTTGGGTTTCCAAAAGATGAAATAACTAATATAGTTTTATTTGAATATACAATTTTTAACAAAGTCTTGCAAAGCCATGGGGAGTTTCTCAAAATTCACAATAAAAAAATATTTTTATCAAAAATATCTTTGGATTACATTAAAAGTAATAACACCATTATTAAAATTTCCGCAATGTACTATTTATAATGCTGTTATTGTAAAAATTGTCATAAATTCTATTAGAAATACACGTCTGAAAAACTACTGTTGTTAAAAAGTAATAATAGTCTTGGAAAAGGAAATAAAAGAAACTTAGACACACTTACAGCATAAATAAATACAATGACGATGGATAATGTGAGATGGGATATCAATCTGATGTTTTTCAAATTTTATGTTTAATTATTATTTATTAAAAATTCGGTGCAATTGAATTGAATATCCATTATATACGTATAAAGCATGGTACAAAGAATACAAGGTATGATATTGCGCAGGTTGGTCGCTACGTCACAGGTGATAACAGGCGCTATTGGTCAGCACGCTCCGCGCGCCAGTTCAAATCGTCAAGATATTGTTATAAACCTGTTTTTTTGTTTATATACCGTCATTGAATTATTGCTAAGCAAGTTACTGTGGAGCAGTGCGTAAGGCTGCGGGCACGCTTGCGAGCGATTTATCGCGAGCGATATATCGTGGACGACTAAACGACAAACAAATATTTCAAACACATTAAATTTCATTGCAGTGGCCATACCAAAAAAGTCGTCCAGCGATAAATCGCTTAGCGGCTAAGCGTGTCGCTCTGTATTCAATTCGGTTTGATTTTTCAAGCGACTTTTGTTGCACTTTTGTATTGTGCGTATGGAAAGTCGAGAAGCAATGGCGTGTTCTAAAGAAATTTTAATTTCGGAAGTTCAAAGTAGGCCCATTCTATGGCAAGATACTAATAAACATTTTAAAAACAAAAGTGTAACAGACAAGTTATGGGCAGAAGTCGGGCTTGCTTGCGGTGTAGAAGGTAAGGTTTACAAGAAATTATTTTGAGGTTATGTTATGCTACGTTTTGATGGATATTGAATTCGTTTTTAAAATTTATTGAAAATTAATTGAAATTCAATACTTATGAAAACGTATAGCAACAGTTTATCACTTTTATTTGTCAAAAAAGAACAACAATAAAATACAGGTGATCACTGATGTTCATATAAATATGTCCCAAAAATCTCTCTTATTTGTGTAGCTTCTCTGGATGATCGATTGTTATTTCTTCCTCCTCCTTGATTTAACGGAACCGCATTTTCGTATGTTTGTATAGTTAAGTTCTCCATAACAGTACAATAATCAAGATCGGTTATTATATTATTATAAAATTATGAAGTATGCATGCACATTTTATTAATACGCAAGCTTTATCGGGATATATCTCTATATCTTTTGATAAGAAGCGCCATTTTGAATAGAGAATTCCGAATGCACACTCGATACATTTTCGGGCTGTAGAGAGGCGTGTATTGAAATATTCTTTTCTTGGTGTGAGTACTCTGCGTGGATACGGCCGCATTAAGTATTTTTTCAATGGGTAAGCTTCATCACCAATTAAAACATTAGGCATTTTTATGTTTGATCCTGGCAGTTCTTGATCTGGAGGGACGCAAAATTGTTTGGCTTCCAATAGGTTGAATAAAATTGACGCGATAAATGTTCCACCATCACTTTGCTTACCCCTGCCTCCTACTTCTATTGGCAGGAATTTTTTATCAGCATCAGCCACGCCTTGTAGTACTATCGAAAAGTATTTTAAATAATTAAAATAACTCGATCCTGAGTTTGGCGGACATTTTATTTGACAGTGTTTGCCGTCAATTGAGCCAAAACAGTTGGGAAATTTCCATCGATTATAATAGTCTGATATTACTTTTTGTAAATGTTCCTCAGTAGGCACGGGCATATATTCTTGAACCAATTTACTCCAAATTATTCCGGCTGTTTCAAAAACTATCATACTTATCGTAGACTTGCCCATTCGGAATGAAAATGCTAGACTTCTGAATGAACATCCAGTAGCTAAATATCTAAAACAAAAACAATGGAATTAATTTTTCAAGGTAATACAGGCCATCAGGTTTATTGCCCCCTCCCCCGTCTATAGAATCCGCACAAGTTTTAATACGTATTCTATGCTGACCGACAAAAAAAAGTAACACAATCAAATTTCATACATACACCATTCAGAATATGCACTAGAATAGGTTATTGTTTTAGGTAATGTGGCGAAATCAAAGTGGAAGAACCTTAAGGATCAGTTCCGGCGCGAAAACCAAAAGATTCCTGTTTTAAAATCCGGATCAAAAGCATTACCAACTAAAAGTAAATGGCAGTACTTTGAAAGCATGCAATTTTTAAGGGACTATACTACGCCTGCTCCAACTCAGGGTAATTTAAGTGATGTCGGACGTTCGAATGTCAATGAAACCCAATATGATAGTGAAAATACCGATGATGAAATAGAACATAGTACAAGTAATGACGAAAATGATGCAGATGTCACACTAAATACGTCCCTATTAGTGGCAACGCCATCAAAGCACGCAGAATCAGCATCACGTCGGCGGCAGTCTGAAGCATCAACATCACGCTCGCAATCCCAGTTGTCAACATCGCACCCTTCAAGCAGTGCTTCTGTTAGATCTGAGTTTTTACAACGTCGCATCCCTCAAAACAGAAACGCCCAAAATCTCAACCATCAATACTTGGAGTTACAGAAAAAAGTTACTTTGTTGGAAAAAGAAGTTAAGAGAGGCGATGAACCAGAAAGTGCAGATTTACATTTTTTCAGAAGTTTACTGCCATATATGGAACGTCTATCGCTTGTTGACAAATTAGAGCTCAGAAGTACTATACAACAATTAGTATTCGATAAATTTAAAGAAAACATGATTCAACGGCAGCCACCGGAGCAACAAAAACAGAAGTTGTTACAAAGCCAATCCCCATTATTGGATGAAACACCAACATATCATGAACTTTTACCCATCAGACAAACCCAACTCACACCACAAGCGTTACCTCTACTAGCATATGGAAATAACTACTTCCCCAGGGACATGGAAGAAGATGAGTTTAACAAAAGTGTAAACTTTAACTAGTTTCTTTTTTACTTACCTTATTGTAACCACTAATCGTTCTTCAATAGAAATTGGTTTTCCAAAGTTGGTAGTTTTTTACAATACTCGTGTTTTAATTTTATCCAGTAGTAAATCAAATGTGTGTATACTCATTCGAAGGTACTGGAAAACCTCTCTGGGTATTTTCGCAAATGTTTATACAAATGATGATATTCCCCGTATGCTTTTCTGTATCTATTGATGGGATGTACACCATATTTCCTTTTTTCTTTAAAAATGGGTCTAAAAATACATCATCTTCCAAAAGAAGGGCAATTCGACGCGCTCGTGTGAGAGGCATGACGAAAACTAATTTGTAAATCGCTTTTCTGTGGACAGGTTCTCGCCCGTCGCTCGCTATATTGTCGTCCACGATATATCGCTCGAGATAAATCGCTCGCAAGCGTGCCCGCAGCTTAAGGAGTCGGGCTAGGAAGCGAGAGACCAGAGTTCGAATCTCGGCCGGGATATAACTTTTTATTTATTTTTTTAAATACTGTTGTATTCTATAGTTTATTTTTGTAGTATAAAAAAAAAGAACTATTTATTCTGTTATTTTTTAATCTCCGTTATTAATATAAATTGATTGTTAGTACAATACCTCATTTAATATACAATAATATTCTACTTTTTGAAATGTATCGGGCCCTAATTGTACCTAAAAGTCATATATTTTTAGTGATATACCATATTGTAAACTATTTAATATTTCAGTCACTTAAAAAGTTAATTTGCATTGAATAATTGCCTACCATTAAAAGGAAATTTGAGCTATATAATCCTTGATGGGCATATTCTGGGTATGCAAATACTTCCTTTAAATTTTGGGTGTCGTTCAACCGATTTATTCTCAAAACCAGAAACATCTACATATAAAAAGAAGCACATGTTACTAATTATAATAAACTTCACCCTTGGTATTACTTCCACTAATTATAATAAACTTCACCCTTAGAATTACTTCTATCACAATTACAATACGTTCATCTGCATTGGTATTTTCTACTTTTCGATGGGAAACAATAAACTTCCCAACATTTTTTAAATGATGTAACAATTCCTCTTGTGGGTACTTTTCCATAGATATCCTCAACTCTGTCCTCATGTGAATTCAGAGGCAATGAAATGAAAAATTATTTACCATAAACATCGCAAACTAAAAACCTAATAAACAATTTTATACCGAATATAGAAATAAATTTAGTATTCTTATCTATCGTCCAAATCCATGTTAATAGATAATTATTATTTTAAATATATTTTTGGAACTGCTGGTTTTAGTAATTATTAAATTAAACGAACTAAAAAGTCTTAAAAATAAACAATTCTTAACCATAACCCCAAAAAATGCAGATCTCCTGTCAACTTTCTTTATTTTTTATTTATTCATTATATTCCTAGTGACGTCACAGGTGGTATGCGCGAACTGAACGAAATTGGAGCCGCTATCGATCATACCTTGTAATCTTTGTACCATGCGTATAAAGTGTATCAAATCAGTGCCTTCTGTTAAAAGATCAGCCTGGGGGCGGACTTTTGTTTACTTCATCAGCTGTACATACTTAGATATTGGGTTAGATTCCGTTTCATATTTTGTCGGTTGATTTTTGGTTTTAACTCTATGATTTATGGTATTATTTATTATTGTAGTGCAAAAAACTAATTATTTTGGTGTTTAAGTGACATAAACTACTACCAGATATATGGTCACTCTCGGTTTCGCATAAAAAATAGAAAAATAAAAAATTACACGTTGTGTAAGTGATTTAACCTAAAAGTGCCCATACATTTTTTACTCATCGTGATTTTTGTGTGTGTATTTTAAGACTCTAACAATTCATCAATAAAGCTTATGTGTGTGTTTTTGGTGCTATGCCTCATCTTTGTTGTGTTCCTGGTGGAAAGGATAGTTATACTAGGCAGCCTAAAGTGTCCGGAAGAGCAAGAAAAGTGGGTATGAGTTATAAATCAAGAGAATTCTATTGAAAATATCTTTAGTAAATTTAAAAATAATATTCTCTCATGATGGTATTAATGAAAACTGGACAATTATGTTTATTTTATTCATATTGTGGAATCTCCACTCCAAGTGTTGTTGGTTCAGCTTCGATAGATTCAAACACGTAAGTAGGTATTATGATCTAGGGAAAAATAAAGAATAAGTATATTAAAGATCATGAAAAAGATTATTATTTTGAGTTCAAATTTTAAAAAAGATTTTTGTAAAGACAAGACTGATACAGTTTAAAAGAAGAATGTGTTTTTGTTTGATAATATATAATAATTAATATAGTTTTAATTGGTCTAATGCTATTTACATTTTATGTAAGAATTATACCGTATCATCGAAAAAAATCGGCGTCTAGTTGGTTTGGAAATGAACATCGATGATATTCCCTAAATAACTGTACACATAAAATAATTAACTAGAATTTTACAATCTTGGAAAATTTGATATTCTTGAACCTTGTTTCTAAATATTCTAAATTTTTTGATTTTCTTGGGATTTAGGTTCGGGAAAAATGATGATTAAGTTTTCATTTGGTTTTTCATTATTTTTATTTCTTTTAAAAAAAACGTTTCGGCTAACATTATAGCCTTCATCAGTGTTGTGTCATATGAAAAAAATAGTGTCGAATATAATCCAAAAAATTACATATAAAATATTCACACCACGCACATAATGTTTACTGCGTACTGCATAGTCAATGTAGATAATTTTAGTGTTAAGAATAATAATTTTAAAAATGTGTGAATTATATTGTATATGTAATTTTTTGGATTATATTCGACACTATTTTTCTCATATGACACAACACTGATGAAGGCTATAGTTAGCCGAAACGTTTTCTTACACCAAATAAAAATAATGAAAACCCAAATGAAAACTTAAATCAGCGTTTTTCCCGAACCTAAAAATCCCAAGAAAATAAAAAGTTTTAGAATCATTTTACATATAAAATGCCAGCGATCTTCATTCCATAGCCATCGCTGACGCCTTTTTTTAGATAATATTGTATTATTTGTAAATATAATTTTTCGAACATTGATACTTGCAAAATATATATATAAATTTTGTGAATGCATATAATAATACATCACTATTAGTAGATATTGAATGTTTTTTGTTAAATTAGATCGATTTTCAAACCCCAAAATTTAAAATATATTTACATTTTACCCATTATCTTATGTACCTATACATTACTTGTACATTGTAAAACATTTGCTGCATTTGTATGGTTCATAGTTTATTTGCCAAAGTATTTATTACTATAAATAGGTATATATGTTGTAGTTATTAACTGTATATTATGTATATTTCATGTAAACTATATCATTTTTAAAATACAAACCAAAAATCTTAGGAATAATTATGTTTTCGATGTATTCTACAAAATATTTATTAATCCGTTATATCTAACTAGCGTGACGTCATAAATCTCGCCCGTAGGCTGATCTTTTAATAGAAGGCACTGATCAAATGCAATCAAAGTTTAGGCCTCCAGTTGATGACGTCACGAATAAGCTGTCCGGCCTTGTTATTACGGTGGTTACGGATGTACCTCCTTAACTCGTATTGTTTTAACCAAACCGTATTGTTTTAAGTAATGAATGAAAAAATAACCATCACATGTACTGGCTACTTCCTAAAAAATATTAACATACTAGAAAAATAGTTTTTAAATAAAACACCGTTAAGTAAAATAATGTAATAGAAATAAAAATAAATTAAATAATTTAATATAAAAAAGTAGTCATTATTGACAGAATATAACATTGAAAAACTGTGTACTTAAAAAAAATGCTTTACATTTTTGTGAAGGTATGTCCAGAATGGAACAAATAAAACGATTGACCGCTATTGATTCACTGGCATATCACGCATGCAGCAACAATATTTCAACATTTGACTTAAAAACTTTTATTTTTAATAGGGTTAGACGCTTTTTACGTGTATTTTATCGACAAATAGATCTTCCAGCAAGGGCAGTTCGTTTTCAGTGATATTTAGAATGCTTTAAAGTGAAATCGATATATTCTCCCTTCATAAATATCTATAAATAAATAACAAAACAAACATAAACGTTTCTCCATTTAAATAATAGGTAGTATATAATACATATAATACTATATGATCGAAAAAAAAACGGCGTCAACGATGGCTATAAAATGAAGATCACTGTCATTTTTTATGTAAAATTATATATGGAATTCATATATTTATCAACTAATACTTAATATGCAGGGTGCTACAAATTCGGGCTACGAGTATTGGTAGCTCGGAAACCGTAATAGATACGAAGACGGTTAAATAGGGGCAAAGTTGCTCCTTGGGATGTTCATCAAGATGAAAAATCATCTAAAAAGTTTTAAAAATTTCAAGGATTGCTGAGTTTTTTGGAAAAAACTGATTTTTTTGAAAATAAATTTTATTTTTTCCTGTCGTTACTTTTTAGGAAATCAAAAAACTAATTGCGCATTCTCATAGCCACTTTATTAGGGCTATCTGATAGTATTTTTAGATTTTCAAATTAGCTGATAATTTGTGAGATACAGAAGCCAACTTAATTTTGAAAGAACTCGGTCTCCAGAGTACAATGATATGCCACATTTATTCTTTTTTGTGTCGGACATTTGAACACAATTTATTTAAACTAATTTCAAATCCGGCTCTGTTTTTTTTTAAATATTTAATATTCTGATTGTCCTAATTTTTTAGATACGGACCTGCATTTTTTATTTAAAGTTTCGAAAGAACTCGGTCACCTGAGTACAATAATATGGCACACTTGATACTTTTTTTCTTTTGGGTACCTTAACAATAAAAAACGAATTAATTATTATTTAAAATAATTTAAAGTCCGACTCTGGTTTTTAAATTATTAAATCTGATTATAATTATCGCAAAAATATTGATCAGTGCTAATTAACATTGAATAAGGAAAATCAAACCAAATGAAAGATTCAAATAAATAATATCCAGGTCAGCAATATAAGTTTTAACTTTTTTTATTGTGAATTTGAAATCTCAGTTTACAAAAAAAATGTT